GTTACACCAAATCTTGAAATCTGATTTGTAATTCTGGAGATCTACGTCACCAACCTGGTACACATTATCCGAGTGCATCATATTGTATGTTTAACCCTTGAAGAATTCCAATTTTTTTTTGGAGTGCCAACTAATACCTGCCTACTTTGTTTAGTATCTATTAGATTACAGAAACATGGATCTTGATTACCAAGATTAGTATGATGTTAGGTAATGTTGTATACCAGTTAGATGGGTTGTCTAGATGATAATTTTTTATTTATTTTACAAAATGCTCCATACCATTTAAAAACCAATGGCTTTGTGATAATTTAAATTGTTTCTTTAAAGATATTATTTCTTAATCTTGAAATAAAAAGATCTTGGATAAAATAAAATACGATTATTTTAAATATAGCTATTAAAAAATATATATTTGTTTATTATTTCGTAATTATTTCAGTATTTGTAATTATTTGGTTTTTACGATCTGAAATCGAGTACGAATCTGCAAATATTCATGTCAACTTATAACAGTACTAAACAAACTCGATTTTGCATATTTCGTTTCGAATATAATTGCATGTATTTGTGTAATTGTAATGAATAAAATCATATGATAAAATTTTTAGATGTGACAAATCGTGTGACTGTCAAAAATGCATAGATCGGCTTATCATTATCAAGTGCATAGAATTGAGTTCTCCACTTTTGCTTTGAATTATAAAATTCAAAATCGTTTGTTAATCAACAATGTCATGGAGAAATCAATTATCCAAGAGTCTTAAGGAACTTCGCGTACATTTTTGCCAAACTTCTCCCGAAAGTAAGGGTGTTAGGTCTGTAATTAATTTTTGTTTTTTATCGAATGTAATTTAAATTTAGAATTGTTGGCTTATCAATTGTATCAATTCTTGCACACATAGAGAATTTATTGCCCAAAATTATAAATCGTTAAAAGCAGCCAACCCACATTTTCCAATCTTGGTCCGTGAAGCAAGCGGCGTTGAAGCAAGATTTTTTGCTAGATACGGTAAAATTCGGATCCTATCATTTTCCCGACAACCACTTTACTGACAATGTCAAAACCCCGACAAGTTAGCCCGCATTAGGTTAGGGTTAGTGTTAGTTCCGGTCAATTTTTGTCGGGATTTTGTTTGTCTGAAAAGTGTTGTCGGGAAAATGCTAGAGACCCGGTAAAATTAATTATACAATAAAAACCACTTTAATTATTAGTACTAAGTATATCTTTCCAATGTGCATTTATGTTTTGCATTAGATTTTGGTAAAGAAACAAAAGTAGTGCTAGATAATCTTTCTGCAGAAGCCATAGAATCCAAATTAAAAGATCTAGTCACTAAAAGCCCTGGTTAATATATATATGATAACTGGAAATAGACCATAAAAATCTTGTACGATAAATTTTTAATAAATGCAGAGATAAAGTATCCTCCTTAAAAATATACATTGAACATTACAAATGTCAATGTTTGTATCATCTAATTTCAAATGAAGGAATTTACGACATCGAAAGTCAACCTTGGCAACCAACATGATTATCAACACCCTGTTCGCCTAAACTCTTTAGCTTGCTTGATCAACGACTTCTATATAATTCTTACTGTTACTATGTAGTTCTACTAAAAACTTTGGTAATGGAGAAACAGCCAACCCAGAAGTCACCATCTTTTTAATTCCTTCAATCACATTTGATCCTTCAAATATGACTGTTGTTGATATCGGTTCTTCTTCAAGTTGATTAGCAGCGGATGCAACTAAAATTTATGGCAATGAATGTATGTAATATAGCCAAGAAACAATAGCATTTAAATTTGTTTTTACCTTGATCTCTACAACATCAAGAGATGGTTGTTCATTGGGCCCAAAATTTTCATCTACCACATTATCTTTCGATTTCATTTGAGTTATGACATATTAATAAAACAAATCGTAATTCTATAAATTCATGATGAGGTTTATGAATCGTATAATAAACTTATACCATCTGTTTTGAGTCTTTTTGAAGCATGTTCTAATGGGCTATCATCAACCTGATTTAATCGATATTGACTGTATATTCCTTGAGATTTTTGATGTAATAGCAATTGTTCCAAAGAATTCACATATTTTCCTTTCAAATCACATTCTTCAATCTGCCGACAAGTAAAAGTTTTCAACAAACCCTAAATTTTGAAAGAATAAAATTAATCCACAGCATCGTATAAGAATTGCATATTTGCAACATCTTAATACTTACGTACCTGCAATATAAACTCTTTGTGTTCACGTTTAATATTGCTGCACAATAAATGTTCTGAATTAGTAAAGTATATCAAATAAATGATATTTGTGCCGATTGGGAGGAAATTTTGCGAGACGCTATCATGAATGCTAACGCGCAACCACCAATTTTTATCATAAACTTCGACGTAAAGATGC